TTTAGGGTTTAGGGTTTAGGGTTTAGGGTTTAGGATTTAATTATTGAACGCCCAGCTCCGGCTAAGAGCTCGACCATCCACTAGAAAGTGAAAGTGCGCGCTGCCCCAACGTGGTCGCATATTGCCAACTCCCCAAATCCCTAGTCCAAGCCTACTATATTCAGCATCGGTTTTTTTTGGGTGGGGTTACCATAGAAAAAACGAAGGGACCATAAGGAATAATATTAGTAATTATCCCGACTTCTATTTGAAACAGCCACCAGAAGCCGGCCTCGAGGGTTGACCACCTGTCTCCAACGTACCTTTACTAGGGTGTCCAGGGACACCCAAGATCCCTTAGTTCGGGCATCTTCCTGACATGGCAACAGGGACCCGAAAATGATTTAGGGAAGAGCGTGCTTAGGGATTTTGGAGTCTCCGAGGCAGGCCCGATACCCCCAGAGATAGTTCTTCTAGGGATCCTAACATGACTGAAGTTGTGTTCGTCAATTCAGGGCTAGCGGCCCTAAACCCTAAACCCTAAACCCTAAACCCTAAACCCTAAACCCTAAACCCTAAACCCTAAACCCTAAACCCTAAAGAGGGCCCTCGGGGAATGATGCAGGATTGGCCAAGAACTCTAAAGTCAGAACATTCAAGACCCTGCGAAAGCGAAAAGATTGCAGTCAACGATTTGGGAGTAGCTGTTCCGTTACCCTCAAACCCTAAACCCTAAACCCTAAACCCTAAACCCTAAACCTTCAAAACATGTACTACGCAGGCCTGATTAATTAGAATGGGGTGTTGGGGGTTCTTAGAGTATACTTACAAAGGGATCATAAGGGAATGTTAGTAGTACTTCTTCCGACCCCAATACTACACTCCCCTTAGAACCTTAATAAAAATGATATTGTTGATGCCCTCTTAAGTTTTATGTGAACGAAAAATAAACAAATAATTCCCGAAGGGGGATATGAAATGGTACCCTTGTCAAGCGATTTCCGACGACCCAGGTTGCGAGTCGGCAGGTCGTGGACGAGGCAGTTCATGTTGGGGCGTGCAGCTTAGGGTTTAGGGTTTAGGGTTTAGGGCTTAGGGCTTAGGGCTTAGGGCTTAGGGTTTAGGGTTTAGGCTTTAGGGTTTAAGGGTTTAGGGCCAAGTTTAGGGTTTAGGGTTTAGGGCTTAGGATTTAGGGTTTAGGGTTTACCGTGGAGCGAGGAACGGCTCCACCCACTCTGTGCCTTGACATCTACCCCCCCAAGATACTCCTGTGGCACTCTCTGTTACGTTTCTGCGAAATGCTTAAGAACCCCCCCCCCCCTCCCCGCCCCCAACAAACAAACAACAAATAGTCCTCCTTATAAGGGCAATATAGGGGACTTTCATGTTTTATTTGTTGGGGGGGGGGGGGGGGGTTCTTAAGCAAATTCTAGTAGGCTTCTTTTGTGACTTCGCGACAGGTTACAATCGTTCTGCTTGAGATGGCTGGCCTGTTCTATACTGAACTTGGAAACTTGGAACCCTAGCAAACGCTTTTTTTGCTGTTTCTTAGGAACCCCTTGGAACCCTAACAAAAGTCACTTTTTGCTGTCTCTTAGGAATTATAATGCCCAAAAACTAACAACCGTTTCCAAGTACCCCTAAAGTGTTGGAGAAGCTGGAGCCGCGTCAGGGGGTTGGCATGCAACTGGTGCTCTTAGATTCCTAAACCCTAGACCCTAGACCCTAGACCCTAAACCCTAAACCCTAAACCCTAACCCCCTAAACCCTAAACCCTAAACCCTAAACCCACGACGAACTTCTACAACTTAACTTACATGGTCGAGCTGGCCCTGGCACTGGCAGAGCCTAAGCCCCCTAAAAGCTTTGCAGCCCCAATTCACAAAACCGCACTCTGCCTTAGGTTCGGAACCTCCGATATCAGAGCGGACTCCGAAGGACTAAGGCCCACGGCCCACGGCTGAGTTGAAATGTGAGCGGTTCTCTGCACTCTGGTCCCTTCCGGGGATGTCGGGATCTTAAGGATTTAGGGTTTAGGGTTTTTTAGGGCTTAGGGTTTAGGGTTTAGGGTTTAGGGCTAGAATCGGAACCGCCCGGAAGGTACCAAAACTTAGATGCAAAATAGACACCCGTGAGACCTTCTGGGACTTCTTGTCAGCGAGCAAGCGCTCCCAACTTAAAGCATCCAGTGTAGTATACGGGCCTAAATAATGAGAGTAGGGTTTTGGAGGGTATTAAAGTATAGTTATAAAGGGACCATAAAGGTATATTATTCGTAATTATTCCGACCCCTACACTGCTTTGCCCGTACCTTGTGAGGGGTTTGGGTTCAGCGAAACAGGGTTACAGGGGTTATAGGGGTTATCGGGGTTATCGGGGTTATCGGGGTCGTAGGGGTTATAGGGGTGATAGGGGATAGGGGTAAACCCTGAACCCTAAACCGGGTAAAGGGTTCAGAGTATGCATTGCTTCTGGCACATGAAGCACCAAGAGCCACCCGGAAAGGTCGAGCTCAGCAAGGTGCAACCTTCAAAGAGAGGGAACAGCCGGTCGGGCTTAGGGTTTAGGGTTTAGGGTTTAGGGTTTGGGGTTTGGGGTTTGGGGTTTGGGGTTTAGGGTTTGGGGTTTGGGGTTTAGGGTTTAGGGTTAGGGTTTAGGGTTAGGGTTTAGGCATTCAGGTTAGCATTGCAGGCATTGTCATGTTCTTGACCGTCTCTTATTCCTGCTAGATCGGCTCGCTAGTGCTCGTTAGCAGGTGTGGTGCTACGGAGCAGACTTAGGGTTTAGGGTTTAGGGTTTAGGGTTTAGGGTTTAGGGTTTAGGGTTTAGGGTTTAGGGTTTAGGGTTTAGGGTTCAGGGTTTAGGGTTTTTTGTTTAGGGTTTAGGGTTGTGAGCCCTACAACCAGGAACAGCTCTCATGATCAAGATCACTTTGCAGCGTTGGCAAGCGGAAGATGTGCAAGTGCTCGCTCCTCCTTTGGAGGTGGTCCCCAAGACTCAATTCGCTGCTAATGATCTTGTGTTGCTTACTGCGTGAAGTTCTACTTAGGACCTTCTATTCACCTCCTTGTCCGGCAATCTGCAGTAGATTACCGCGGATCACCTGGACCAAGGAGTGTTGCGTGTGCGCCATCACGCAGGCGAGACGGCCGCCAGCGTTCGAGGCCGCGGACTACGCCGCCGGCCGAAGAGTGCAGAGAAGCGACTCCCGCACCGGTGCCACCAAGGACTCCTGAGCTGGTGTTTAGGGTTTAGGGTTTAGGGTTTAAGGTTTAGGGTTTAGGGTTTCGGGTAGCATGCTGCTTCCCCGAAGGGTCCACGTACCATAGCAGCAACACTTGGGCCCGAAAGCTACTTTCTAGGAGCGTCTTTCAAGGCTCAAGGATATACTATACACGTACGTTCAAGACGCTACAAGCAGAACCACATGCCCTAATCTGCTTGGCTGCACTGGCCGAGAAGGGCAGTTGCTGTCCGAGCTGCTCCCCCTTGCTGGAAGAGTTGTCCACGACCGTTCCGAGCTCATCCTGGCAAGGGGGCTGCTGAAACTTCGGGGTGTAGGGTTTAGGGTTTAGGGCTTCGGGTTTTAGGGTTTCGGGTTTAGGGTTTGTAAAGTGGCTGACCAGGCTTTGGGGACTGTTTGGCAACCCTCTAAACGCTAAACCCCAAACGAAATCATGCTAGATTGGCCCCTCAGACCCTCGTTTAGGGTTTTAGGGTTGAGGGTTGAGGGCACCCCCCTACTTTTGCAGATTCTGGAGTGTCCCACAACACGAAACCCTAAACCCTAAACCCCACACCCCTAAGGGCTCCTTACAAGAAGCACCCTGTGAGGTTCCTTGCAATACAGGGTTTAGGGTTAAGGGTTTAGGGTTTAGGATCATATGGACTCGGACACCCAATCTAGGGTTTAGGCTTATGGTTTAGGGCTTTTTAGGGCAAGCGGCAGCCTTAGGAAAAAAACACCAAAACTCGAGCAAAAAAGGTGCCTTAGAGGCAGCATGGGCTGCGAAAACTCTCAGTCGAAACTTCATCCTTTCCCCGGGATTCCCCGCCCTCCCCTCCCTCCCACCCAATTCTATTGACGAATGCAAAGGCCCGAAGCTTACCCCAAACACCAAACCCTAAATCCTAAACCCTAAAACCTAAAACCCCAAACCTTCCCCCGCACCTCGTCGAGCTGATATGTCCAAAGGTCCGACAAGACCTCCAAGTCGTTGATGGCCGCAACGATGGACCTTCCGAGCTCGTTTGGACTTGCGTGCTGCCTCGATTTGAGGTGCTGGGTTGGGGGGTTTAGGGTTTAGGGTTTAGGGTTTAGGGTTTAGGGTTTAGGGGCGTAGTATGATAGTTGTGGTGGAATGGTTAGGGAGACCAGGTCTTAAGGTTACGTTTAAAGACTACGGGCCCAGGACTCAGGGGCTTTGAGTTAGGGTTCGGGCTTTGAACCCTAAACCCTAAACCCTAAACCCTAAACCCTAAACCCTAAACCCTAAACCCGGGAAGCAAGTGGACTCTCAACTGCAGCCACCGCCACTGGGCCAAAAAGATCGCCTGCTGCTGAGTCTCCTACAAGAGGGTCAGACTTAAGTGCGACGCTCCTTTTACAGGGCTCGGAATAAGGGTTTAGGGTTTAGGGTTTAGGGTTAGGATAATTACTAATGGTCTTCCCTTATGGTCCCCTAGATAAATATACTATTAGCAGGTCACAGGCGCGTTAAAAACCTGGTGACTTGGAGGTGCGGACGTTGTTTTCGCTTGGGTTTTAGCCGCGCCAGCACTGTCTGCATGTCTATTTTCTCAGAACGCTCGAATTAGGTCAGGTCCTTCCGCAGCCAGAAACACTGTAGATTTCGGTATTTTTCAACTTTTATCTTGAAACAGTGCAATTAGTATCTGTAGCTAAAGAAGTTCGTGCGAGTTCTCCTCAGAACTGAAATATATGACGCAGAAGTACCCATACATGACTCCCTTCAGGCAAACAAGCACATAAACCCATGGTATTTTTCGAGGTTTCTTGCGACATGCACACAAGGGTCAGTTTTGTGCATGTTTTTGTTTGTCATTTTGTTTTCATGTTGCCTCTGCTGGCAGTTGTTAGTGGATCGGCGTCATGACAGTGCGTCTTGTTACAGAAACGTCCTGGTACAGCATGTTGTGTAGAGGAGCCAAAACGCTATAAATACCGGTGTTTTGGGCATGGATAACCTAACATGGTCGTAACCAGCCCCCCCCCCCCCCCCCCCCCCCCCCCCCCCCCCCCCAAACCCCAAACCTTTACAAAAGTCCACGAAACAACCAGGAATTAGTAGTCCCCAAATTCTGCTCTAATTCGTAAGGCCCCTATATTCAGCGAGCCCTGCTCCTTGCTGTTCATTGCAGTCTACAAACTAAACCCTAGGCCGGCAACCATGAGCCCTAAACCCGATAAACCCTATAAGCCCTGAACCCTAAACCCTAAACCCTAAACCCTAAACCCTAAACCCTAAATAAACTCTACTACAAGCCCTGAACCCTAAACCCTGCACCCAGAAGAATGCATGACAACTCACCGTGCTTCTGGGGCTCTTTGTGGCTCTTTGTGGCTCTTTTGGGGATTAGGGTGGCGTTGGGGTGTCGTTCTTGGATGGATGTGTTGGGGCTTTTGGGGTACGAGGTTTGGGGGGGGGGGGGGGGGGGCTTTAGGCCCTGAAGTGAGGGAGCCGTGACCTAAAATGTTCTCACCCTGATAACCCCTAAACCCTAAACCCTAAATCCTAAACCCTAAACCCTAAACCCCAAACCCTCCCAGCTGCTCGCTGAAGTCCTGCATCTCACCGACGCACGTGCAGAAAGCTTCAACATCGATGGCCACCAGTCCTGAGCCACTCTGGGCCGTGTTGGGGGCTGAATACCCCAGCCCAAAAAAGGTTAACCTTTTGCTTGTAGAAGGATTCTAAATATAACCCCAAAATGGCTCAAGGTTACCCTTAGGAACCCTAAACCCTAAACCCTAAACCCCAAACCCTAAACCCTAAGCCCTAAGCCCTAAGCCCTAAACCCTAAACCCTTACTGTTTAGGGAACCCTCCTGGCGGCGAGGGGCCGTCATGAGCTGCAGCGTGTGAACAATGAAGCCCGAAACCCGAAACCCCAACCCCGAAACCTTCTACTGCTATTTGCTTAAGAACCCCAAAAGAATAAAAAACAATCCATATGTTACCCTTAATAAGGAAGAATATGCGCATTTTTTGGGGGGTTCGTAAGCAATAAGTCGTCTGTCCTAAGTCCCAAAGCTCTAAGCCCTCACCATAGCTAGCATTGTGGGTTTAGGGTTTAGGCTTTAGGGCTGAGAGTTTCGGGTTGAGCGTGAGGCTGCTTACGACTGCGTTGGAAACCTGGGCATCGAGATAGGGACGAAGGACGCTAGCAGAATGAGTTGGCGTAGGTCTTGGGGCTTTGGGGCTTTTTTGGGGCGTATATTTGTTTTGGTGTTATGGGTCTTGGAGGCTTTGTGGTATGTTTATATGAGGTCTTTTGGGTTTCGGGGTTTTGGGGTTATTTAATGGCAAGATGCATTTAGGTGCCAAAACCAGGTCTCATCTAGGATGGCCCCTAAAAGCATCTGAAAAATATTCCTGACTATGATCCCCTTAATTGAACCCAGTAAGGAAGAATATGAAGAAATGTCCCCGGGGCCTACCGAGTTGTATGTCAGCCCAACAACAGCTCTGGGCGCGCTCGCAGTGTCGCGGAAGATGACGCAATCGAGCACAGCGGGTTCGGAAGTCTTAAACGCAACTCGTCTATGGGGCCCTACGAAAAGAACCCCAAATAGTAGGCCCTAAACCCTAAACCCTAAACCCTAAACCCTCATAAGGACCTCAATCAGGTACCCCTACTTTCGGAAGCCCCGATATGCAGGCGCCTTTGTGCAGCCAAACCCCCGCTCCGGGAGATGCCACCGGGGCGCTTGACGATGGGAGCCCCCCTTGAAAGGACCCTAAAACCCTAAACCCGAAAACCCTAAAACCCTAAACCCTAAACCCTAAACCCTGCAACCCTTATATGCCTGCCGGCCGGTTTCCGCTCATGTCGCTGGAAACGAGGTCGCCAATGTACACCCAAGGGGTCCACAGAGCGACCTGCGGAGTTTAGGGTTTAGGGTTTAGGGCTAGGGTTTGGGGTTTAGGGTTTAGGGTTTAGGGTTTAGGGTTTAGGGTTTAGGGTTTAGGGGTTTAGGGTTTAGGGTTTAGGGGTTTAGGGGTTTAGGGGTTTAGGGTTCAGGGCTCTTTGGAAAACAAAACCAAAGCCCTTCGCCTAGAGATACCAAGGCGCTCTTAAGAGAAGGCCAAAAAGCCTGCCTTACCGGTTGTGTATGCGCCCCCCCCTTTGGCTACTACCAGTAACCATATTGAATAAGGGTGCCCAGAACCCCAAACAACAAAAAAAGTAAAGGGTACCACTGGGCTACCAAGTTGGTTTCCGGTTTCCGTGTGTAGGCTACTCTACAGAGATCCTATGACGCCCCTTGTAGCACCCTGCAAACCCTGCAAACTCTAAAGCCTTGCAGCATGAGCCAGGGGCCTCTGCAATCTGTATCGAGTTGGCTACGTCCTCATCTTGGATGTAATGGAAGTAGCGCAGGTTGTCCTTAGCTGTTACTTGAAACATGTTTAAACTAAACCCTAAACCCTAAACCCTAAACCCTAAACCCTAAACCCTAAACCCTAAACCCTAAACCCTAAAACCCTAAACCCTAAACACTAAACCCTAAACCCTAAACCAACCCCCCAACGTTTGCAGCTTTTGTCGCTCCAAATGAATGAACCAACAAGGTCTCACAAGTTGTTCTTAAGTAAGGTCCAGCATCGTCTAAGGAGAAGTATGTGGTGTCCGCCACCGTTCCACGGTTGAAGACCTCGGGCGAAAGCAGGTCTTGACCGAGGAAACTTACAGGATAAGGAGCGCGTGCAAGATCATGGGACGGTGCTACACTTTGGTTTGCCTTGCACAGCGCGTATATCATCATGAGGGAATCACCCTGATCAATGGCCTGCCACGGCCCGAGGATGAATATAGGGTTTGGGAAGTTTCTTGTCAAGTCCATGAGGGTACTGGTGAAGACACATACGCCTGTAGTACATAATCCTAGAAATTACCAACACATCCTACTTTGTTGTAGCACATTCTGGTAGTACTGGTAAACCCAAAACGCTTCTGAGCCCTAAGCCCTCAACCTTAAACCCTACTCTTACCATTCGGACTACATAGGTCCGTGGTTTTCGTCGCAGGGGCCGGGGCGTTGTCTAAGGCTCTTTCTGGAGTTGCCTAGAGCGTGCCCTTTGTGAACCCCAAGCCCTAAACCCTAATCAGGTTTTAGGGTTTATACGGGTTTGGGCCAACATCGTCAGGCGATTCCTGTGATCTTAAAAGTAGTTTCAGGGCAAGGAGATGTGTAGGACCCTTCCTATCTCTACCATGAGCCTTCAAAACAGAACCTTAACCCAAAAACCTAATGTTGCCAGGGCTGCAATGTCATTCTGAGCTAGCTGTACCGTGGTCAGCGCCTCACGGGTCGGAGGAGACATGCAAGGGGCCGACAAAGTCCTGAAAAAACCCAACACCTGGTTGCTGAGTACCCTGGCCAAAAAAAGGATAATCTTTCAACTATGGTCGGATTGTATATACCCCAAAAAAGGATAAAGGTTACCTACTCAGCTGCTAAAAACATCTCACCAGGGGCTTCTACGGTTTGGTTTATGGATCTCTGTCCCGACGCACCCTTAATGGCTCCCACCATCATCACATGGCCAAAGCTTCGAGTGCTTAAACCCGAAACCCTAAGCCCAAAGCCTAAACCCTAGGGTCTGGGGTTTTGGGGTTTAGGATAAGGATTTCGGCGGCTTCGTTGTCGTTGTCTTGGGGGGAGGACCCGAGACCGAAAACAAGGGATAGGCTCTTCGTGAGCCATGTGCCATGCGAACCTCATGATCCCACCATGGGAGGGGGGTTCAGTCAAAGGGTCCCACAATGGGAGGGGGGAGGGGGTTCAATCAAAGGGTCCCTCAATCAAACCCCCCATCGAATTGCAGCAGAATCCTGTCTGAACACAGACCTGAACCCTTAACCCCTTAACCCCTTAAACCCTTACACCCTTAAACCCTTAAACCCTTAAAACCCCTAAACCCTTAAACCCTTAAAACCTTAAAACCTTAAACCCCTTAATCCCTTAAACCCTCAAACCCTTGAACCCTTAAGCCCTAAACCCTAAACCCTTAAACCCTTAAACCCTACACCCTAAACCCTAAACCCCCCAGACTCTCAGACCCCTGTATTTCAAAACAAAGGCAAGGCGGAAGCAACTCTGCAGCGTTGCCTTGACAGCCAGCTTCTGAGCAACCTCAGCTGGCAGAGTCATTCGGCGTTTAAGTCAGATCATAGTGCCAACAAGGTTTAGGGTTTAGGGTTTAGGGTTTAGGGTTTAGGGTTTAGGGTTTAGGGTTTAGGGCTTTAGGGCTTTAGGGCTTTAGGGCTTTAGGGCTTTAGGGCTTTAGGGCTTTAGGGCTTAGGGCTTAGGGTTTAGGGTTTAGGGTTTAGGGTTTAGGGTTTAGGGTTTAGGGTTTAGGGTTTAGGGTTTAGGGTTTAGGGTTTAGGGTTAGGGTTTAGGGTTTCGGGTTTAGGGTTTAGGATTTGGGGTTTAGGGTTCAGGGTTAAGGGTTTAGGGTTTAAGGGTTTATTAGGGGCTGGGGGTTTAAGGGTTTATTAGGGGTTGGGGGCTTAAGGGTTAAGGGTTGAGGGTTTGTGCCAACAAGGGAAAATGCGAAAGGTGCTCCTGCTGCTTGCCTGCCGTTCTCATGACCTGGTGAGGCAGGGCTCTCATTTCTCCTTGAACCCTCTTAAGCCCTGAAATGTGCACCCGAAATCCACCAGCAGTGAGAGCTTGCTGAGACAGCTCAGGCACTGTCTCCGCCTGATACCGCGCATCGTCGTTGATCAGGATCCTCCCTCAGAAAACCCCACACAATCTGCACGAGCAGCTGAGCAGCTCATGGTTCATGACACTTCAGTGCAAGGGCCTGCAGGATGAATTCTTGGCTGCAGATTGTAGCTTTTGTGCTCACGTTCTTGCCCCTGTGCCGGGCATGTCGCTTCGTTTCTACATCTACTGCGGGTGAGAAAAGTATATGACGAAATGGCAGGAGACGAAATGGGAGTCTCAGAACCCCAGGCATGGAGACAGGCCAAAAGGGAGCATCCTAAACCCTAAACCCTAAACCCTAAACCCTAAACCCTAAACCCTAAACCCTAAACCGTGGGGTACAACCACGCTAGACACTGCAGCTCTTTCGAAGCCCCGCATTCACGCAGCAACTCCAAAACTTAAAACCGCTCCACAAGGGCAGTACGGCTTGCTGGCCAGGTGTCTCAGTAGCGTAAGGCCAAAGAGGCAGTCTTTGTACCGCGTAAACCTTGGTCAACACATCTCACTTCAATCACAACCCGGAGCCTCAAAAAACTGGGGGAAACCTAGCTTTGCCAAGCCTACAAGGGAGAGGGCGGGAGAGCTTTACAACCGGGTTGCTGCCACAGCCCAAGCTCGAAAAATCTGTCCCCCTGTTGAGGTACGCTAGGTAGAAGAGCCCCGAAAGGAGGTACTCTGAAACATCTAGAACCTGTCCATGTAGGGTTTAGTTCATTTTAGGTCTAGAGTCTCTGTCTAATCGGGTCTGGGGCTCGCCAGCAAAAAAACTAAAAACAATATTTAAAAAAAAAAAAAACTGTTGGCCGTGTGAGGCGGAAGCTGATGGAAAGCCGCAATATTCACGAAAGCCCCTAGACCTAAACCTCAGGTTTAGGGTTTGGGGTTTAGGGTTGAGGGTTTTGGGGGTTGAGGGTTAAGGGTTTTGGGGCTTGGGAATTAGGGCTCCTGAAGCCTGAAGCCACACATGAGCATCCACCTAGTCCAGAAGTTCGGTTGTCTTCAGTGGTCACACGCGGTTGCACGCTCCGAGTGGCCTCCCGGGCCTAGATAGCTTCATATGCAGCATTCAACCAATGACCATCTAAGGGGGTTTAGGGTTTAGGGTCTAGGTCTAGGGTTTAGGGTTTAGGGGTTTAGGGTTTAGGGTTTAGGGTTTAGGGTTTAGGGTTTCGGGTGGAGCCCGATTTTTTGTCTAAGGAGCGGTGGATGCTGGCTGCAGGTGGGACGGACCCCCCTGAAACTAGCAGTCCTTCATAGGGATTTTAATGGCGTGTGCTATAATCCCTGTTCCCCTAAACCCTAAACCCTAAACACTAAACACTAAACCCCAAACCCGTGATTCTAAGGGGGGAAGCATCCCAAAACCGAATCTCTCAAACATGAGCTTTGGCACTGGAGCTCGGCATACAAGGGTTTGGACAGCAGCCCGAAGATGGCGACCTGAAACGGGGGGTTTAGGGTTTAGGGTTTAGGGTTTAGGGTTTAGGGTTTAGGGTTTAGGGTTTAGGGTTTAGGGTTTAGGGTTTAGGGTTTAGGGTTTAGGGTTTAGGGTTCTTGGTAGCCCAATAACCACACTGCACTACGGGCACCCTCTTCTGCTGTTGGCTTCTTTCCAAAAAAAGAAAAAAGGGGCACCACTGGGGCTACCAAGGTGTAGCACTTAGGGTAAGGGTTGATCCATGGCTTAGGGCTTGAGGTGTAGGAGTCTAGGCCCTATTAGAAGCCTGAACCCTAACACCCTTAACCTCAAATTCTACACGCCAGACTCTTGAACCCGAAACCCTAGACCCTAGACCCTAGACCCTGAACCCTAAACCCTAAACCCCAAACCCTAAACCCACTTTGCACCTCGCTGTCGGCCGTTCGAGACGTCCTTGCCCGGTAGGCCTTTCAAGTCCACGTCCACGAGTTCAAGGCTGGGTCGTCTTTCTATCCCTAACTTTAGGGTTTAGGGTTTAGGGTCTAGGGTTTAGGGTTTAGGGTTTAGGGTTCAGGGTTTAGGGTCCATGTACCTATATGGTTGGTACTTGGGCCTTAAAGGGGGTTCCTTTAAACTAAGCACATACTATACAGCTGCATGCGCCCTAGGGCCTTAGGGAAACCGTAGAGCCATCATGAAAAGCATGCATGCTGCATGTTTCCGCGGGTTTGTATGGAATTCTTTCTATATATATATGTATATATATATATATGTATATATATGTGCATATATATAGGTGGGTTAGTATGTGTATATCTATATATATATATATATATGTATATATGTATATATACACGTATACATGGCATTGATACGCAAACAGCTGTTTTGGGGCTTAGGGGCATTTAGGGCCCCCTTGCGCACGCGCCCGAATATGAACGGAAACTAACTAACTCACTACCGAACTTACTAACGAACACAGTGCTCAAGAAACAACTTGAGAAACGAACCGCAACTGCGAACTTTAGTTCGCCAAAGAGCCCGAATCCGAAGCCAGCAAGACCTCAACGTGCATCATGTGCCAACCCAGTAACCACACTATAGTAAGGGTACCCTAAACCCGAAACCCTAAACCCCAAACCCTAAACCCCAAACCCCAAACCCTAAACCCTAAACCCTTACAAGGCAGCCTGGAACCCAAAAAGGGCACAAGGGCACCACTGGGCTACCAAGACCATATAGTGCGACAGCAAGCCTGAGAACCCTTGTGACAAGACCCCTGGGACCAGGGTTTATAGGGTTTAGGGTTTAGGGTTTAGGGTTTAGGGTTCAGGGTTTAGGGTTTAGGGTTTAGGGTGTTTAGGGTTTAGGGTTTAGGGTTTAGGGTTTAGGGTTTAGGGTTTAGGGTTTAGGGTCTGATTGCCGGGACGGCACGTGCTGCAAGAAGCGCGTTACCCGCTGGCTGAGGTCGATCGGAATGTCATTCTGATTCCTCAGCTGAGGAACATGACTGGGCTGCAAGCTGCTTGTAAACCCTAGACCCTAAGCCCAAAGCCGCAAGCCCTAAACCCTAAACCCTAAACCCTAAACCCTAAACCCTAAACCCTAAACCCTAAACCCTAAACCCTAAACCCTAAACCCTAAACCCTAAACCCTAAACCCTAAACCCTAAACCCTAAACCCTTCCTTCCCAAGATGTACAACCCACGAAAGCCTAGGACCATGGTCTGGGCTAAGGCGCAAGAATCGCCTGAGGTCGCTGAAGAGCTGCTGCTCCTGGACTCCAGGCCCCCTAAACCCTAAACCCTAAACCCTAAACCCTAAACCCTAAACCCTAAAACCCTAAACCCTAAAACCCTAAAACCCTAAAACCCTAAAACCCTAAACCCTAAACCCTAAAACCCTAAAACCCTAAAACCCTAAGCCCTAAGCCCGAAACCCTACTCCTAGTGACTCTGCCTCGACTGCCTGCCTCGCGACCTTTGGCTTCAAAAGCACGACCCGACCCTAAACCCTAAACCCTAAGCCCTAAGCCCTAAACCCTAAACCCTAAACCCCAAACCCTAAACCCTAAACCCTAAACCATGATCATACTATTGTCTGTGCATCAAGTATGGCAGTAGTGTACACGACGTAAAGAATGCCGTGGGGGGGGGGGGGGATATCAATAAGGTACCCCTACTATCATAGACCCCCAGGTTACCCCTAAACCCCCCGCGAAACCCTAAACACCGAAGCCCGAAACCCTAAACCCCAAAGCCCTAAACCCTAAACCCCCATGTTGTATCCCTAAACCCTAAAGCCCAAAGCCCAAAGCCCTAAACCCCAAGGTATCTTCTGGTGGCTCCTCGTCCTGCGCTTTCTGCAGGTTGCTCATCAGAGACGTGACGGTACCTAGCCGCGAAGTTGCAACCGAAGGGTTGAGCTTGTTTAGGGTTTAGGGTGTAGGGTTTAGGGTTCAGGATTTAGGGTTTAGGGCTTGGGGCTAACTTGCGGCTTATGCTGTACAGGGCCTTTTTTGTTGGGGGTGGGGGGGGGGGGGGGGGAGAGCGAGAGGGGCTGCAAACTCGATTTTCGCCACGGACGTTCAGCCAAAGCGCTGACGAGGGTGGAGAAGCTGATCAAGCACGTGAAAGCCACGGCAATACCTGGTTTAGGGTTTCGGGTTTAGGGTTTAGGGTTTAGATTCAGGGTTGTGTGTGGAAACTGTTTGTGCAACCCTGAGCCCAAAAACCCTTGAGGCATCTCCAGAAACATCTGGGCAAGCTCCAGGGACTGAACGAGAACTAAAGCGGAGAGCTGGTGGGCGCACATGTTTCGGGTTTTAGGGATTTAGGGTTTTAGGGTTTGAGGGGTTTAGGGGTTTAGGGGTTTAGGGGTTTAGGGTTTTAGGGTTTTAGGGTTTTAGGGTTTTAGGGTTTTAGGGTTTTAGGCTGAGTCTGTTTGGGTTGTAAGGTGAGTCCTTTGCACATAGCAAGAGACGTTTGTACGGATGTGCTTCAGAAGCGTTCAAGACATGGTTAAGATGTACATACAACGATTGCAAAAATGATACACAAGATAGGAATGCTACGGCGAATAAGAGGAATACGGTATGAGGGAATTCAAAAAGACCGTGCGACAGGCACGTCAATCAGAATACCCCTAAACCCTAAGCCCTAAACCCTAAACCCTGAACCCTAAACCCTAAACCCTAAACCCTAAAACCCCTCCACAGCGTTGGGTTCCCTGCGAACAGCTGAGTGGCAAAACGACCTCTCCTCCGTGTTCACTGCCTCGATGCCCTCCACCGAGCCCATGCCTGGCAGGGTTTAGGGTTTAGGGTTTAGGGTTTAGGGTTTAGGATTTAGGGTTTAGGGTTTAGGGTTTAGGGTTTAGGGTTTGGGGTTTGGGGTTTGGGGTTTGGGGGTTAGGGTTTAGGGTTTGGGGGTTAGGGGCTAGGGTTTAGGGTTTTGGGTTTTGGGGTTTTAGGGTTTTTAGGGTTTCGGGCTTAGGGTGCAGGATGTAGGGATGAGGGCAGTTTAGGGTTGAGGGTTTAGGTTTTGGGGTTTAGGGCTTCGGGATTTTTTGGGGGTTTTCTTAGGTCTTAGGATTTGTACCGTCTATAGGGTTTACAGGGTTGAAGGGGGTTGTAGGGCTTATGGAGTTTTTAGGGTCTATCGTACGTGCAGGGCTTATAGGGTATACAGGTTCGCTTTTATAGGGCTTGCAGGATTCATGGGTAGGGTTTAGGGCTTCTGCAACGCCTTCACAGAATTCCCAGCCTAGTTGGGCGAAGGCCCAATGCAAGCACGTGGTGTACTGGTACTCGAAAGTAACATCCTTGGCCACAAAGGGTTTAGGGCTGCAAAGGCTTAGGGCTTACGGTGTGTGGGATGCCTACTAAAGGAGTGGCTTGCATGCAGACACCAAGATGCGGAAGTCTTGCGCAAGCGTGCAGCCTTGCTATGTTCAACAAACGGACACCTCACAATCTCCTTAAAATGGGTTGGCCCCTAGTACATGGGGTCCCTTATAAGCCCTAAAAGCATACAATTCTTTACATATCCCAGAGGCCAACCTAGTAAAGAAGCGCCGCTGCCACCCGAAAAACAGGCCCCGCATGTCACGCCAGTTGATCCTTCAGTCGTCTTGGGCTCTGGCTTCAGGGGTTTACCCTCAAGATCTCCCAAAAGCTATGTGGCCAGTTAACAAATAATACATATTCGGGGCGGCCTGATAATAGTAGCCCCAGAAGGGCCCATAACTTAAAGAAGTGATCATCTGATCGGGCTACAAGAAAACCCTGGGATGCCAAACCCTGAAGGCACAGGCGCGCGACAATGTAAAGAATTCCGCTCGTCCGCAAACGGCCAGTTAGTTGAGGCCTTGAAGTGTGTAAAATAGCTTCTTTGTCAGTGACTTTTCTTCCTTCCTGGTCTCGGGTAGGGGCCTCGGCTTCGACCCAGGACAGCAGGCAAAATTTCAGCCCTTAAGGTTTTCAGGATGTAGTCGGCGGTGGCTTCCCAGAAAGCTTGGAGAGAGTTGGTCAAAGAGTGACCCATCTACAGGCTGTTACATGCTTGCTCGGCTTGCATACAAAACGAAGCCCCAAATCTTGTGATGGGGAAGAGCCCGCTTGCGCAATCGAAATCATGACCAAAAAGTGCTCTTGCACCCTGCATGAACCAGGGCTTAGGGCTTTAGGGTTTAGGGACTTTAGGGTTTTCATGTTGGTATGGGGGTTTACGAAAATAGGGGACTCCTAATAAGATAGACCCCAAATTGTAGGATTCCCTTAGAATAAGGACCCCAATAAGGTACCCCCCCCCTATTTTCGGAAACCCCCACAACCCTAAACCCTAGACCCTAAACCCTGAACCCTAAACCCTAAACACTAGGCGCAGAATCACGAACCCGGTGCTTTGCAATTGAGGGTCAGGTCCGTCCATTGCGAAGCTAGCAATCCAACTTCTGCCACCTCGGATTCTGCTCGCTCTTCCCATCGGCCCATCAGATTATACCCTAAAGGGTTTAGGGTTTAGAGTTTAGGGTTTAGGGTTTAGGGAAACCCTTAAAACCCTTAAACCCTTTGAAGCCCAAAAAAACCCTAAACCCAAACATCCCAGGGCCCTAAAGCCCTAAACCCCGAGACCCTGAAACAGAAACCCTGAACCCTGAACCCGAAAGTGCCACTCAAGCCCTACAAGTAACCGAACTTTCAGAGTGTGATCCGCTGAGGGTTTAGGGTTTAGGGCTTAACAGGGCTTAGGGTTTAGGGTTTAGGGTTTAGGGTTTAGGGTTTAGGGTTTAGGGTTTAGGGTTTAGGGTTTAGGGCTGAGGGCTTAGGGCTTCGGGTTTAGGTGACCAAGAAACAAGAAGGAAACCTCAGTTCGGGCAAGTACTCCCTAAGCCCCTGGTGATCTGGTGGCTGATCTTCTTGGTGGCCCTTTTTTCTGGGGTGCCCCCGAACTTACACTACCCTGTACAACCCCATCAATGAAGGGTTAATTTGGGAGCATACACGGTACCGGATTAAAATTCCGAAGCCCTAGCCCCTAAACCCTCAAACCCTCAACCCTCAACCCTCAAACCCTAAACCCTAAACCCTCAAACCCTACTGAGAACTCAGGAAGATAAGTGCAAGCTCCCTGGCATCCGCAAGGCTAGGGGTTTAGGGCTTAGGCTCGGAAGGGAGGGATCCATGGTCCAAGGACCTTCGCGCACAACCTGACCTGTATTCCGGTTTAGGGTTTAGGGTTTAGGGTTTCGGGATTAGGGCTCTTGGTACCTTGCATGAGAATCCCAAAAAAACACCGTGGCCGGCTTCGCTGACCGGCCATGAACAATCAGAACACGCTGGCGTGGAAAAAAAGGCACGGGTTAACCGGGGATGTCGACTCTAAAGCCAGTGGGAGGCCTGACCGGTAGGCAAAACCAACACACACACACACACACAAACACACACTTGCCTCCCTACTACAGGGGCCTGACTAAATAGAATAGGATTTTTTTTTTTTTTTTCGGGGGGGGGGGGGGTATTCTAGTATAGTTTATCACAGGAACCATAAGGGAATAGTATTTCTAGTAATTGTTCCGACCCCTACATTACGCACATGGCCTGCATCCTCACGTGCAACCCCGCGTCTGGTGTTTTCGAAGAAGACCGCGTTGCCCACACCTGGGTGTGCTGGTCGGTTCAGGGTTTAGGGTTCAGGGTTCAGGGTTCAGGGTTTAGGGTTTAGGGTTTAGGGTTTAGGGTTTAGGGTTTAGGGTTTAGGGTTTAGGGTTTGGGGTTTAGGGTTTAGGTGACTGCGTATGTGGCTCTGTTCTCCGTGGGGTCTTCCAAAGATACTTCGGTTGCGGATGGATGAGCACTTGAGAAAGCAGATCATGTGCCGGGTGAAGGGTGCGGGATACCCCAAGTACTCCAAGGACAGCGCCCAACAGTGCCCTAAATACGTACTGTAGGGCCTTAATAATTAGAATAGGGTTCTGGGGCTTAATTTAGGATAATGGACCATAAGGGAATACTCCTGAGTTGGTCAGTTCATAAGCCCCAGAAAAGTGTACACTTTCAATTCTATAGGGGATTATAGTCTCCCAAAAAGCGTAAAGTGTACTCACTCAGCTACTCAGACTATTCGTAGTTATTCCGACCCCTATTGTACCCTAAACCCTAAACCCTTAAGCCCTAAACCCTAAACCCTAAACCCTTAAACCCTAAACCCTAAACCCTAAACCCTAAACCCTAAACCCTAAACCCTAAACCCTAAACCCCAAGTCCACCAAGCAGAGACCCCGACCCCACCAGCCGCAGGCGATGAGGTGCTGCAGCAAGAAGACCTTGGCGATCACCTGGGCGCTGAGGCGACTTTGACGGGTTTGAGGTTTGAGGGCATGGGTTCGGGTCGTCTGGCCGGTTACCCGAAACCCTCAAGCCCTAAACCCTAAACCCTAAACCCTAAACCCCAAACCCTAAACCCTAAACTTCAAAGCTTGTTTGAGAGGGGAGGATCCGAACGACAGCAGACCATCCAACACTCCCAGCAGCAATGTCTGGTGGAGCCCAGCAATGTCGAGGTTGGCTAGGTTGTGGCTCTTTTGAAGTTTCTGCGGGTTTAGGGTTTCGGGTGTAGGGTTTAGGGTGCTTATGTTGGCGGCGGGGAGTAGTTAAATGTCTGTTTGGGTCCATGAACTTTTGCTCTTCATGGCTGATGGAGGTTGCTCTCTTGGCATCTTTGCATGTGGAAAGCGCGCCGCGTCCCCACTGAGACTTTGTGTATGTCTCCGGCGGGGCTGTGTGGGCCCATGGCTGCGTTTCGGGTTTAGGGATTAATCAGGGTTTAGAACCCGGAAGGAAGTCATCAGTGGTCTGCCGAGCATGCACCGGCTTATTAACCTTGTGTTCTGCAAAGGAGACAGCTCATTGATGGCGAACAGACTACTGAAGTGTGCTCTGAGACAGGTTGTGCTTGTGGGCATCATATGAAATCTTAGGCCCCTGATGGCTTTGACCGGAAGCTCTCAAATAACTTATGCCTTAAAGCTCTGTAGAATGGACGGCCGCCGATTTTTTTAAGCAGCGCTTGCCACCATGTGCGATAACACACCACGTCGCCGTTCACGCCCCCCAGAGGTCGTGGGATGACCCACCCACAGACCCTGGGAGGATCCCAAAAAGTAGATCCCCCTAAGGGGATCCCCTAAGCCCTAAACACTAAATCCCAAACCCCAAACTCTAAACCCTAAACCCGAGCCCCCCCCCCCCCCCAATAAGCCTTCTCTACTTTTTTTCTGATCCTCCCAAGATGCTGCAAATAAATCACTGCAAACCCTAAACCCTAAACCCTAAACCCGAAACCCTAAACCCTAAACCCTAAACCCTAAACCCAAATAGATGAGCCAGGTCACCCTCAGGATGCCAAACTGAATGATCCCTGCTTCGGTCGCGATCTGTTCCTGACGCGAGCTTACCCGGACTTCACGGTTTAGGGTTTAGCGTTTGGGGCTTAGTATACTCCTTTTAAAAAAAGCTCCACTGACACCGGGTTTAGGGTTTAGTAACTTGAAAGCCAGACCCTTTGCAGCAACCCAGTTTGTAGCATCACAAGCTCTTAGGAGATGAGGCTTCATGATCCCTCCACTCCTCCTCACGAACATGGACCCAACCTGCTAGGGTTTAGGGTTTAGGGTTTAGGGTTTAGGGTTTAGGGTTTAGGGTTTAGGGTTTAGGGTTTAGGGTTTAGGGTTTAGGGTTTAGGGTTTAGGGTTTAGGGTTTAGGGTTTAGGGCCTCATGATATGATTTCATAGCTTCGAATGACAGGCCCTTCCGGTGCATTCCTGAGCCTTTTACGAGCCCCCCCCCCCCCCCGCAACCGAATGATATGAAGACCCTAAACCCTAAACCCTAAACCCTCTTCCTTCATCCCTGCTATGTGCACGACTCTTGAGAGCCGGCAAAATGCGCCGAGCGTCTCGAAGAAAAGCGGACACTTTGCTCATCTTGCCTCAGAGCCGCAATATACCGCAAAGCTACCATTTGCTTACCAATGTTCTTCCCTACAAGGGTAGTAATATAGGAACTATCATACTCAATCTCTTTGGGGGTTGCTAAGCAAATAGTAGCAAGCTTGACCGTCACGCCGCAGTGGCCATGCAGCTCTATGTAAATATTGAGGAGCAATGTGTAAGGAGCCAAGCCTCTGCGGGGCATCCGGGGGTGGGGGTACTGCATACCCATGAGCCTAAATTGTGCCTTCTTACCTGCCTGAGCGAAGCGCATGTTGCCAAAACATGCCGTTATCGGAGCTGTCCCGAACAACACAACATGGCAAGTTGACAAGTGAGCTACGTGAGCATGACAATCTATGGCAATCACATGACGTTGGACTTTGGATACAAGATGGAGCATCACACTAGATTTGTTTCGCTGTGGCTCCACCTGCATCGCATTGCAGGACATGCCTAACAGGGATGGTACCCGGTGTATCAGTGCACGCGCAGAATCTTGCACCGGCATTCACTTTATATGGCAACACATGTGCTCGAATGTGCACCATGGCACGCGTAGATGCACTGCAGTCCATTCAGTTTCACTACTACTTGATGCTGGACTACGAGCAAAGCTCACCACATGGCACATACTATGAACTCGAAGAGCGCGTTGCGGACAGTACATGCGTTACAGTGCGTTAAACCCATCCACAGACAGCAATCGTTTCGCAGTCAGAACACCTTCCAACCATCAAGTATGCGCGCCTCTGTGCCAACAATGAAAAGCAACGTTCCTTGGAGATTCATCTATTTCCCTGCCATGGTTCATAGCAAACCTACTCTTTCCCATACAGCTTAGCAAGGAGAAGTGCGTTTCTTCTGCGTTTGTAAAGGCAAGCCTCTCTTTCCTCTATTCTTGGACAAGAAGCCTCTATTTCCAATCCATTTCAAAAGAAAGCCTTGATTTCCTACAAGCTTTTGCTGTGAAACATATATTTCTGCATGAGTTCGGATACACACGAAGAAACCCTCCATTTCCTCTTTCCTGGTCCAACAACATCCTTCATTTGAATGGGAACTACTGTTTTTAGGTTTTCGAAGTCTCTGAGACTAATTTCCTCTATTCAGATTCGTCTTTACAGGGCTCTCGGGTGTTTGCAACCAAGAAAAGCTGTCCTAACTTTCCTGTCTTCTTTTGTGTTAACATCGAGCCGCTATGTCCTTTTGCATAAAGAGCAACCTCGAATGCCGGTGCTTGAATAACAATGCCTCGACTGCTGCCTCTGTAAATTCAGAAGACAACCTCTACGTATTTCTGCTACAAGGCTGCAAAAAGCACCCTCTTCCATGCTTGTAGTGCATTTTTGCTTCGATTGCCGTGGCTTCTAAAGAGATCAAAAGCCCGGGGGATTCTGGGGCGAAGGGCACAGGCCTCCTCGTGGGCAAACACGAGCTCGTCTGACGAGTTCAGCAACATGGGTTTTGATACATTTTCTTGTTGACGGATGCTTGCACACAGCCCCACCCACTCCCATTCGCAAGCACAACGCTCGTGTGATGAGTTGGGAAAGAGATCATATATGGGTTTTGATTCAGATCTGATAGCACGTTCTCGAAAGCCAGCTTGCATAGCTTCAAAGAGCCCAAAACGCTGCCCTTCTTCCATTCTCCTTTCCTTCCGCCCGTCCTTTCTCCCTTTTCCCTCCTTCCTTCCTCACAAAGTACAAACATTTTGAATGAACCCCCCTAAACCCTAAACCCTAAACCCTCAACCCTCAACCCTCAACCCTCAACCCTCAACCCTAAACCCTAAACCCTAAACCCTAAACCCTAAACCCTAAACCCTAAACCCTAAACCCTAAACCCTAAACCCTAAACCCAAACCCCCACTAGCACCCATAGTAGAGGCCAGGAGCTGAGGCGAATCAGCCGGAACATCCGGAAAAAGCGCGCCGAGCGAATCGACTTCCTTAAGGGGTTTAGGGTTTAGGGTTTAGGGTTTAGGGTTTAGGGTTTAGGGTTTAGGGTTTAGGACTCCGGTTCCTCAGAGATTGAGTTTCCGAAGGGTTTTGCTCTAACTCTAACAGCTGCAGCTGCAGTATGGCTACATCAACTTCCTGGCGTGCGTCCCTAGCCATCCGTCGAGGGCGCTTCTGTTGAGGGGTGTTTGTAGGGTTGACGGAATAGGAGGCAAATTGGGCGAACCCTTCACTTACGGCTTGCGAGCGCTTCGGGATGGGGGATGAGTGGAGGGGCTCCTGTACGTAGTACCTGGTAAATAATGCTCACCCTTGACACTGGCATGTAGGGGGTACTGTACTGGGGTCCTTACTAATTATAAGGGACTCCTATGATTTGGGGGTCTGCTTTAGGGCCCCCTATTTTTTTCGTAAAGCCCATGTAATCTCCACAATTTGCTGAATCCTGCGAGTGGAGAGTCGTCACTCGCGCGACGCCCTCGGAGCCATCGCTTGTCTCAGTTGTTTCCAGCCACCAGTCGATTCCGACAACTCCTGTCACAGCAGCGGAAACCCTACCAACTAAACGGGGAAATTCTAAAAACCCTAAACCCTAAGCCTTAAACTGCCTCGCAACGCACGGAATGCCTCTTCAAACCGAAGGCAGTCGTACAACAGGCCCAGGTTCTGTATCGGATCTGAATGCACTTATGGGGGAGGGGAGGGCCAGGGAGGGACTGTTCCAACCTCGGCCCCTTTTGGGGGGTTTAGGGTTTAGGGTTTAGGGTTTAGGGTTTAGGGTTTAGGGTTTAGGGTTTAGGGTTTAGGGCATAGGGCTTATGGTTTAGGGTTTAGGAGCATACTTGTCGATGTCGAGGCGGAAAGGGAGATGACAAACCGTGCATCCAGGGATCTAAATCCAGAAGCTCCTACATGGACGAAGACGAAGATGGTGTAAGTACCGCTGGCTGCAAACCCTAAACCCGAAACCCTAAACCCTAAACCCCTAGACCCCTAGACCCCTAGACCCCTAAACCCTAAACCCCTAAACCCCTAAACCCTAAACCCTTAAACCCTAAACCCCTAAGCCCGAAACCCTAAACCTCTCGGACTCCGTAGGAGTCCAGGCTCCTAGGGACCCCTCGAATTCCCCGCAGGGACCCACCAAAAAAAAAAAGAAACCGTGTCAAAAAACTGCACAGGACCAAGATGAACTTCTGAGTTGACATCAAGCTTCTGACGACAATGTGCATAACATCCCCCCTATCAGCCCTAAAACCGTGAAGCCCTACCAGTAGAACCCTGAAACCCCTCGAAACCCCCCCCCCCCCCGCCGGGGAAGCCGTAAATAAAAACCTGGCCTCCCCCCCCCACCACCCTAAACCCTAAACCCTGTACCCTAAACCCTAAACCCCAAAAACCCGACCCTAAACCCTCAACCCTCACCCCTCAACCCTCAACCCTCAACCCTCAACCCTCAAACCTAAACCCTAAACCCCAACACCCCCCCCCCCCCCAAACAAAACAAACAGTCCTAAATCCAGGAGGAACCATGTGGTCATGTAATTCTTGGCGATCTTGTAATGCGACAGCTCCAGCCGCCCCTTCCTCATTGTAGGGGGCTACATAGGGTGTAGGGTTTAGGGGTTTAGGGGTTTAGGGGTTTATTGTTTAGGGTTTAGGGGCTGTACGGTTTTGAGGTTTGGGCATGGAGCCCCGTTAACAAAATGACGAACACAATGCTCGTGACCTCTTGGACCTCTTGTTTTGGAACCGGTTTAGGGTTTAGGGTTTAGGGTTTAGGGTTTAGGGTTTAGGGTTTAGGGTTTAGGGTTTAGGGTTTAGGGTTTAGGGTTTAGGGTTTAGGGTTTAGGGCCAAGATCGAAATATGTTCTGGGACAGTCTAGGTTCTCGTAGTAGCCAGTGAGAAACGAGAGGAGGATGTCGACGGTCCAAAAGAGCAGGGACATGGTGGCCAGAGTATTCCTTGGATGCAGAGACAGCACAGGCTGCACGTGGAAAAAAACCGAACCCTAGACCCTAAACCCTAAACCCTAAACCCTAAACCCTAAACCCTAAACCCTAAACCCTAAACACAAGCCTGCTGCGGCCTGGCGTCATGACCTGATACTCCGGCACGTCAAAGAGCTGCAGGGGGATGAACACGATGTCACGCATCAAGAAGAACATGCCAAACATGTCCCAGAAGATCCTGAGCATAGGGTTTAGGGTTTAGGGGGCTTTTTGGGCTAAGGGCTTTGTGTGTGGGGTTCCGACGTAGCGATGAGCTGAGGACTCCTCAGAAAATGGGTTCACTGGGGTTCTAAGTTGCCACAGTAGAATTTAGGGGTTTAAGGTTTAAGGTTTAGGGGGACCTTTCCGATCTCCCGTGGAGCACTTTAGGTAAGCACAGTGCTGGCCACGCTGATACTTCGAGGTTCATGGTACTTATAAACCACTTATAACTGTACTTATAACCATATTCGGGCACTTGGGGGGCTTATAAGTGGGTCACAAGTACGGCTATAATTGGTTAATAAGTACCATGAACCTCCAAGTAGCCAGCACAGCAGTATGCGGCCAAACTCCATAATAAAGTTCTTAAGGAAGGGGGCTCAAGGGGTGTCTGCAACCCCAAGGTTCCCTAATGCTGCCCACTACTCCCTAAGGCTCCCTTAGCCTCCACAAGGCTCCCTAAGGCACCTACCCCCCATAACCCCCCTCCCTTAAGAACCCCATAACTCCAACAGTACGTGCCAAGTCCGAGATCGTGAGATGGTAGAAGACTTACTCTACGAGCATTTCCTACACAGGGGCGAGCCTTAGGGAGGGGGGTTCCTGGCGGGTAGGTAACTAGGGAACCTTGCAAAACCTCATTCGGGGAACCTTCGGGAACCTCAGGGAGACTTGGGGAGCATTGGGCAGTGTTAGGAACCTTGGGTTACACACCCCCCCTGCGCCCCCCTCCTTTTAACAACCCTAAACCATAAACCTTAAACCCTAAACCCTAAACCCTAAACAACCGGCGGGTAACCGCAGGGTGGCGTGCGGGTGGATGACAAAGTCTGCCCACCTGGAAAAAGTAGGGTCAAAAAGGGCTTAGGGATATACAGGCTTCGGGGTTAGGATCTGCAAAGGCCTCAGGACTTTAGGAATATGTAGGGTTTTCAGGCCTATAAGGTTTAGGGTTTAAGGTATGTAGGG